ATTTATTACATATGAGGGAAATATTCATTCGAAAATTGCTACGTTTAGGTTTTCTTTATCCAAGTTAAATGAAGTTAAATTGCTGATTGCAAGATTTATTCCACAAACGGAGAGATAAGTAGCAAATAGAGTAAGTAGGTATATAAACAAACACGGAGATTACACTTTAAAAAAAAAAATACAATGGTAATACGTAATTGCGAATAAGAAGTGATATTTGCTCTGTATGTGTACCTGCAAAGATTATCGCCCAGACGTAGTATAATGGTCCAGACGTAAATATGGGGATTTCGTGTGGGAGTGAGACAACTTTCTAACAATAAAGTATCAATACTTCTTTCCCTAGACAATTTGCAAAACCATTCGAATAAAAGAAATCTGCAGAAGAACCAACACATTTTTGTATGCGCTAATAGATGGAGCAAAATAGAGGGATAGCAGGTATTTAAATAAGGGGACATTTGAAACAGAACTTAGCGTGCTTTTTCCCCTTAAGATTGACCGTCTGTAGTATATGTTGTCTCTGATAATATACTATTATTTTAATTTAGTTTAGAATCTGGTTTTAGTGAGATTCAGTTAATAAAGAATTGCTCAATTCGCACGTTTGCACTATCACTCACCCTATACTACATTCATTATAAGAAGGTAGTAGATGGCGCTGTGTTTGAAGATAAACACACACAGGAAAAATATAAAACGGCACCAAATTATTGTAAAGTGGAAATATTCAGCACTGCGAACAGAAATAAATCTTTGACAATAACAACTAATGACACTTCGGCAGTTTAGTTGGCAACATAAACTACCACCTTACAAAATTCACCAGTCGGTTTCTTTGTAATACTGACTCATGTTTTAACCAATCACAGTGAAGGTTAAAGCTTCCCTATGCTTTCTACCGCTACCTTCTTAAAATGAATACAGTACAGTATAGAGTACTTGTGCAAATTCTTATGGGAATTTTTACTTGGATTAAGTACATTAAATGTTGTGATATACCTGCTCAAATTCAAAAGGATTAAGTTTACTCGGCGAGCGTCTCGGTTTACGTACTTTTCAAAGGAAATGCCGACGACTATGTGTAGTCCAAGTTATTTTCGAGAATAATAAGAATTGAAAAGGAAATATTGTTCTACGAATTATTTTCATTTTTATGAAGTACATAGCAACAATAACAGTCGTAAACGAGGTCGTAAATAAAGGTGGTTTATTTATGAATAGCAGTTAACAGTGAGTCACTATGCCTCGCTCTAGGCTGTGCATTTTTACTGCGATAGCATTTTCTTCTCGCATTTTCTTGAAGCGCGGGTGGGTGTGCTCGTAAGTGTAACAAACAATGGCGGTAACAGCAAATATTGAGACAATCTCTGATTGGGGGGATACGGAGGATACATTTATCAATTCCATTGAACAAAAACTAGAAGTCAAAATTCCTCTATTCTTAAAAAATATAGTAAACGTGTCCGGTTTAGCAAATAAAATCGGGATTAAAAATTTATCTGAGGAGGATATTAATAGGCTAGAGGAGTTTGTAAAAGGCGAACTTGTCGACTTGATCGATAAAGAAGAGAAAACTATTATGGGTTGTTGTTTAAAAGAAGCCTACAAATTTTAAATTTCTTATTGGACACAGAAAGTTATTACATAGACGTGGTCGCTTTACGCATGGGAGAGAGTAAAGTATATTTACTGTACCAATGACTAACCACTAAAAGATAGGAATTGCCTTTTTTTGATCGTGGGAATGGACCCATAATGTCTGTACTAATAATTTGAAATGGGAAACGTACATTTTTTTCACCCCCCATGAGACCTAAAGGAGGAGACGAAGTGATTTTCTGAGATGCACAAGTTTTGCATTTCCTTATGTATCGAATAATATCCACGCGCATCCTAGGCCAATAATAAAGCTCTTTTATGCGAGCTAATGTTTTGTAAATTCCTAGATGACTGCCCGTAGGAACATCATGACAAGAGTATATTATGTTAGGTCTTTGTAACTTAGGCACTAAAATTTTCCATTCTGAAATATTAGACGTAACACAGGAATTAAATGGGACATATTTGTAAATTATATTATCTTTTACACACCACTGTACATAGTCTTTAGGGTTAGCTAGAATTTTAGATCTTAAATCCAAATACCAATCATCTAATTTTTCATCACTAACATCAATAGAATTTACAAAAGGTTCTGATATACTTGGTATTCGGGAAAGTGCATCCGGCACAATATTATGCTTCCCTTTCCGGTGTATTAAATCAAAATTGTGTTCCCTTAGTTTGACAGCCCACCTGGGGTTTTTAATATTGTTAAGCCACAAAAGCGAGTAATGATCAGTGATTGATATAACTGAATTTTACACCTTCAATGTAGGGTCTGAATTTTTCGATACAAAAATAAAATGTCGCTTCTCGTACGGCGAGCGACAATGGCCGCGGTGTTAGGAAAATTGAACAAGTGGTTACAACTTATTTAAATATATTACGCTAATAATATAACTAATGTATAAACATAGTCTATGTGATTGTTAAAAGCAAGTCTAAGCGCACTTGCGTCGCGTCGCGAGTAAGTTAGGCATGTAATATCTTTGAGGGTTTAAAACATTACTGACTGGAAAATGGGACGCTATCGCCCAGTGAAAGTCTGGAAACGGAGAATTCCTCCCTAAGCTTAGACAAATTATACGGCAGTATGACACATTTCAAAATGCACACGAAAAGTAAATCAAAGTGACGTATATATGACTATACAGCAAGTTCAAATAATAGCCTAACGAATGAGTTGTCAAGAATTAGGGTATTGACAGAACGTTATGCAGACATTTGTTATCAATTTAAGTGTTACGGAGAATTTAGTACAACTGCTGTTTTAAAACCCACACAGCGGGTAACCCTTTTTTGGAACACATGTTAAAGTGTTGCTTAGAAACATTTTACGTGAAGCGTTCATCAAATGACATTGATACAACACAAGACTGATTGAAAGTAGTACTATGAAGTACTATATTTACGAATTCGTATCTATCAATACGTATCATATCTCAAGTGATTGATTTTGTATCGTACCACACTCCGCCGATAACTTGTTATGCAAAAAATATGACAAAAACTGATTAAACGAAGTGCTTAAATGTTTGATCATAGCTTACCAGCTGCAAACTCAATTTCGTTATAAAAGGATTTGTGTTAGGCAATTTTTGTTCTTAGGAAGTTTTCAATTAGTTATTATTATTACTTATGTTTATTGTGGTGTATAACAATGATGGCTACCTTGAAAGCTTCTGGGAATTGGCCTTGTAGTAGTGAAGCATTTAGTAGATCTGCGTAGGCTGTGAGGATGGTGGTGGTAGTGATGTCGAGGTGACCATTGGATTTGTTGGGAAGACGTACATGCAGGTTACCATTACCCGTTGGTTCGAAATCCATGTCACTCTCATTTCCTTCATTCTCTGTCTTTTGAGGAGGGAATGTGCTTAAATGTCTTCGCTTTCTGTGCCACTTTGAATTTCGTCGGGGGTTTTATTGCAATCTTCAACTTGACATTTATCTTGATTTGTTGGCAATAATTTTTCTATAGCTGTTAAAGTTTCTTCTATTCCTTGCATAAAACGCCACTTGTCGTGTCCTCAAAGTCTGCAAAAAGTTGTTGAGAAGACTCCACGTGATTTTCTTCTTCTTCTTGAAGAACGTAATTGGTCTTGGTTCATTACAACTAACGGGCGATCAAAAATGAGTTGCTGTCGAGTCGCCTTTGGAAGTTCAAGTTAAATACGATTTTCCATGTAAACAAAAATTTCAAAGGCGACTCGACAGCAACTCATTTTTGATCACATAGTATTTAAAAGTGCTAACTCGAGGATTTTCTGCCCACGTGACATTTATGTGCGACAAAAAAAACTACACTGTTAGTAGTTGTTAAATTTTATTGACAGTTTACTCAAAAAGAAAATTGTCCCGTTTGTTTTCTATTACGATGAAGAGTGCGTAAAATCCGTAGGTCAGGCAGTTTGTAAAATATGTCTTTTTGTAATTTCGTTATCAAATACTTAAACTTAGTTGGCGTTTTCAGTTTTAAAACAGCCGTCATTTAGCCACAAGTGCCACATTTTGACACATTGGCGTAGCGCAATCTAAATTGTCGCACTGGTACATTAGTCCCAAACTACCTACACGACTCTCAGCCTGAACTACTAAAATTTTATTTTTTCTTTAATTTACAATTCAACGCAATCAATTATACGAAAACAATTAACGAAAATACGCTAGTTAATAGGTACCTTCTAGCTAATGCTACTCAATTGTCGCTACGTAAGCGTAACCTAAACCTCAAAGCGTGCATATGCTGCCTCGTATGCTCGACGTGAGTTCGGAGGAAGTAAATACGAACTAGCTTCTTCTGCAGCTGCTTCAACGGCGGATGAAATACTTGCATTTTCATCGGAATCGTTCATTTGGCTAGCAAAAAGTTCCCAAATGCGATTGAAACATAAAAGTCGC